GTAGAAATGGATGAATATTCGAATATTACCTAAGAGGCAATTAGTTTCAATGTCGAAGCTAGACGTAAGGATACAGGATAAATCTGATGATGTTTTTAGATTGACCGTGGTGGTAGGACTAGCCTATCGTGATGACCCAACCGAGCTAGATCGGCTGGGACGTATGTTCCTGTAGGTTCTACCATCCCAGACAGGTCGTTTGGAGAACGGTAAGACTAAAAGCAGCAACTCAAGGTCTGAGGGTGAAGTCGTAATGCTGACTGTGGAGGGGTGTGACAGTAGTAAGATGTTTTTCTCGGACAACCAGCGTCTGCAGTGATGCTGTCTTCTCACAAGCAAGGATGAGTTAGAAAATGTCGACCCTAAAAATGTTACACACCACCTTATCTCGCAGATTCCCGTCTCCGATGGTAAGGGCCATTAAAGGACGGAGCTAACACGCTAGAAACCTCCCACAAAAATGCCGTGCGCGACCCGGTCTCAAGCAGTTGACCCTTGGGCTCTGCAGTCACGCTCCCAAGTCGTTAAGACCAACACGAATCCGACTTTTTTCAGATTCTTCAAGAAATACCCTACCATAGTGTGGGCACAGCCGAGGAGTTATATCAGCCCTCATACCCGTAACAGCACACGAGACCAAGTTAGTCACATTCAAATCCTTCCTACATCTCCTAAGAACTCTTATCTCCAAGACTAATCTTTCTCACGTCTCTTTATCATCTCGCACCACTAGGGTAAATGATTCGAGTACGCGAAACGTTATTCCTGGTCTCCTGAAACCACGGTCGAAATCACATGTAGGACCACGTTAGGTCCTAGAACACAGACACACATTCAGACGCCCCACAATCGTAGTATTTCTCGACCTTAAAGCAGCATTCGACTTTGTTGGTCGTGAGGTTCTATGGCAGTGTTTGTCACTGAAAGGAGTACCAAAGAAGTACATTAACCTTATAAAGGCTCTCTACTCGAACACAACTGGTAGAGTGAGAGCTTATGGCGAACTGTCATCAGAATTGATTACCTCAAGTGGTGTTCGTCAGGGCTGTCCACTCTCTCCATTCTTGTTTAACTTTGTCATTGACGTACGTTTAGAGATAACACTTTCCTCATCTAAATTTCCAGGGGTTGAACTTCTACCAGGAGGTTCACTTGTTGACTTGGAATATGCAGATGACATAGTTATATTTGGTGAAGACGCTGACAAAATGCAGAGTCTTCTGACCACTCTAAGCAACAATGCAAGCATGTTCGGCATGCGATTCTCCCCCTCGAAATGCAAAATGTTGCTTCAGGATTAGGTTGCATTGACACCCGAACTAATGTTAGGGAGTGAAGTAATTGAGGGTGTCGACCGCTTCACTTATTTTGGGAGTCTCATCAGTCTTTGTGGTCTGGTGTGTGACGAAATCTCAGCACGGATACAAAAAGCTCAACTAGCTTTTACCAACTTGAGTCATTTGTGGCGTTGGCGAGATATCCGTCTACCAACCAAAGAACGAATTTACTGCTCAGCAGTTCACTCCGTTCTACTTTACGGCAGTGAAACATGACCGGTAAGAGTAGAGGATATTCGTGGGTTACTAGTATTCGATCATAGGTGTCTTCGAAACATTGCTCGTATATCCTGGGACCACCGAGTGATTAATGTAGTTGTTAGGAAATGGGTACTAGTAAGGATGGCAAACCAATTGATGAAGTGGTGAAACTTCACCAGTTGAGATGGCTGGGACATTCGTTACGTATGCCCAACCACCGAATGCCGCGACGTGCGATGTTTTATGGTGTAGGAGTAGGTTGGAAGAAAGCTAGGGGCGGCCAGACCAAAACATGGCACGAGTCCATGAAGTCACTGACAAGTGGACTGAGCCATGTTGGTAGGTGTAGACTATTTGGTTGGGGACCGCGAGATGACAGCAACCGATGGTTAGAGACCTTAAATGACATGGCTCAAAATCGTTTGCAATGGTGCAGGTGCATCCACTCTTTGTGTTCTCCTAAATTCCAATCTTCTGAATTCTCCTTGTCTCCTTTTTCCTCTTTCCAAATTTATTTCACTGGATTATACTTCTTGAATAACATCATCAAACCCTAATCTTTCCGATTACTGCTTATATTCTTACCACCTCTACGACCACGGAATTTGAATCGACAACCGCATCTCTTTGCTAATGTGGTATGGCAACTCGAACTGATGAACGTACGTACGAATGCAACCCTAGTGTTTACGTTAATATATCATCGTCGTTACATTTTAAAAGACGTGATTCATAGTCTACTAAACAAACCTGTAGTTTTGTGGATCACACTATTAAAGAATTCGGACTTAACAGTACGACACAATACCTATTGGACTGATAGTTTAACTATTCCATAAAATTAGCCTTGGAAGGTGGGACATACTAAATGACGAAGTCAAGGAATATCAACCAAAGTTGCTCCGAAAAATGACATTGTTTTAGCGATAATATATTGCTAATCACTTCTTATATGGTTGATAAATCACAACGAAACAGGTACTCCTACTATTTACTCTATTCAGACGACAAATAACTTTTCTGGTATTCATCTTTTATTTGAGTTGCCCCCAAATGCCCTGGTATGGAAGAGAGTGGGGTGGGCCCGCCCTCCCTCTCAAAATGCTTTCACACGGCCACGCGTATACAGCTTCTGCCAAAGAAGTCCTACTCACTGCCTTCTCGTGGTGGGGGTGTTGTTTACGAAAATGAAAAGACGAAAAGCGAATGTCCGGCGCTTTAACTGGATTCCAAACCAATGGTGCACATGGGCTACAGTATCCTGGAGAACAAATTACGTATGAACCAATTGTTGGTCACCGGCTAACATAAAACTGCTTCCCCCACGATGCTCCCACTGCCTTGTGGGTCAGACCTTTAGGTCAAAAGCTCGAGGTATGGCCTCCTAAGAAAACAACCCGCTTCGGCCTGGGCATCCAGGTTTCTTCTAGTTCCTTACAACTCATCGAAGCCCGTCGGTCTACTCCGGATGACCGTGAGTTTGACCACAAACGAAGGCTGTTACGTAATGAAACGAGGCAAAGCTTGCGTAAGGACCGAGAAGCCTGGTGGTCGGAGCATGCTAATGAGCTGGAAGCAGCAGCTGCATCTGGTAACTACCGGAAGCCCTTCCAACTCATCCGAGCCACTGGCAGCAAAAAGTCTGATGTGAGCGAAACAATCTGTGAGGATGACGGGATGCCAACCACCAACATTCATCGACGTCTTGGACGATGGGCAGAATTTTTCGAAGGGCAGTTCAACTGCCTTGCTGCTCCAGGAACACCGATCAGACTGTCCTGCCCTCCATGGCCAATGAAGTCTGATCCACCAAATGAGGTGGAAGTCCGCAAGGAACTCCAACTCTTGAAGCGTTACAAATCACCTGGCCCAGATGACTTACTTCCAGCTCTTTTTAAAGATGGTAGTGACTTTCTGACTAAGGAATTGACGACGTTGTTTGCAAAGGTCTGGGGGCTAGACAGTGTACCAACGTCATGGAATGATTCAATAATTGTCCCTATCTTTAAAAAGGGCTCACATCGTTCCTGTAACAACTATCGGGGAATAAGTCTACTTCCGATTGCGTCCAAGCTATTGGCTTCCGTCATACTTCATAGGTTGTTCGAAACCCGAGAAAGATTGACTCGCGAGGAGCAGGCTGGTTTTCGTTCCGGTCGAGGATCTATTGATCATATCTTCACCCTCCACCAAATGTTAGAACACCGTCATACTTATCACAGGCCAACAGGGCTGTTCTCTGGAATTGTCTATTGAAGAAGGGTGTGCCTGAGAAGTTTATTAACATCCTAAAAGCCCTATATACAAACACCTCAGGCAGATTGAGGGCATGCAACCACCTTTCTTCATTGTTGGTGTCTGACGAAATCTCAGCACGGATTCGAAAAGCTCGTTTGGCTTTTGCCAACTAACGTCACCTTTGGCGGAGGCGAGATATCCGTCTATCAATAAAAGGACGAGTATACTGCGCGGCAGTCCGTTCTGTCTTACTTTACGGCAGCGAAACATGGCCTTTAAGAGTAGAAGACACCCGTAAGCTACAAGTATTTGACCACAGATGCCTTAGAAATATTGCTGGCATCTGCTGGGATCACCGGGTAAGTAATAGTGAGGTTAGACGCAGGGTATTAGGGAATGATGGTAAATCAGTTGATGAGGTTATGAATCTTCATCGACTGAAATGGTTGGGCCACGTATTACGTATGCCTGAACACCGATTACCACGACGTGCAATCCTAACCGGTGTAGGGGTTGGTTGGAAGAAAGTTAGGGGCGGCCAAACCAAAACGTGGCATCAGTGCTTGAAGTCACTAACTTCTAGTCTTAGCCATGTTGGTAGATGCAGACTACTTGGTTGGGGTCCGCGTGACTATCGTAACCAATGGTTGGAGACTCTTGGTGACATGGCTCAGAATCGATCACAATGGCGTCGGTGTATACACTCTTTGTCTTCCCTTAAACTAAGAGATTAAAATCACTTCATATCTTTCTTTCTACGAACTAATTCTTCCTTCCTATACTATATCCTTATTGCAACCTTTGACCTAACCACTTCTATGAATCCGGTGTTCATCTTGTTGTGCTAATGAGGTATGGCAACCTGGACCGATGCACATATGTGCCTGGTCCTACGTTGTAGCTGACTGACTGACTGACTGATTGTTCCATTCAAGCAGTGGGGTTAGACAGGGTTGCCCGATCTCACCATTCCTCTTCAACTTTACCATCGATGACATTCTGGAAACAGCTCTGATGGATGTAAGTAATGGTGGTGTGGATCTGTTGCCTGGAGAAAGACTTCTCGACCTTGAGTATGCAGATGATATTTTCTTACTGTGCGATAATAATAAATGAACATTAATTGGATTTTTCTGAATAAACATGGGGCACAACGAGAATACATAAAAATCTCAAGCTAGAAGTTAGTTTGCATTAACGTGGTAAAACAATATATACACTAACCTGAAATTACTACCTATTCCTCTTGACTGTTGCAATGTTTGGGCGAACATTTCATATTTCCGTACATCATTTTCAGTCACTGAGCGTCTTGCAAAGCGCATTGCTTCTTCAAAGTGACGACGAGTTATTTCTGGCACTGGATCAAAATCATCTTCCTAAAAGAAGCCAACAAAATAATAAGTATCTAATGATATATACAGCAATTAATCTTGAGAAGCGTAAGAAATTGTATGATTCCGTATCGTATACTCTAACTAACAAATCTAGGTTGTTCATATGTGGAAGCTTGCCTTTTGGCGAAATTCTCCCATTTTCAGACAACGAGGAGCGTTGTTCATATGTCCTATTCATGACTAACATCTTGAAATGTCAAATTTAAAAGCGCTTTGGTTATGTGTAGTGAGAGATTATATCTACCTCTACGGCTACGGACGAACAGTGTATCGTATGTGTTTTCATCTCCATCACATTAATCGAAAATTCTTATCCTTGTTGGATTTTAGAGTTTCCTCTATTATTTCTTCCCAATGCTTGTCTATTTACTCCTACGACAACCAATTAATGTGATGGGGTGAGCGGTTGCTAGCGATCCGTACTAACAAATCAGCCAAAACCAGCATATCCTATTTGGCATTCGTACTTTTAACGAAGAATCCTTTGAAGACTGCTAATCCTGGTTAATCAAAGAAAGTTTAATTGGTTTTCGATATTGGGGTTAAGAAACGTAAAACAAATTAAGCAACGATTTATAATCAACACATGTTCGGCAATATTTACCTGTTTATAATTTATGAAGATTGAGGATTAGAACATACATCGACTTATTTTACTTCCTGTTTACCTCTTTATTAATTGTGGATCCAAGAGACGGTTGCCGCTGTAAGATAAAAGGTACTGTACGGTTGTGAGAGGTTGTTAATCTTAGTACATACATGGGAGAATCGCTGGAGCAAAAACACTTTAGGTTGATGGTAGGGATTACACAATGCATACGTGGATTGAGAATGTTAGACATATTGAAAATGATGTTAAGAAAATCATACACAGCACATACAAATCAGCTGTACACCTGCTATCGATTAAACGAACAGGGTCTATGATAGCTGGTTTTTCTATGCCCATCACTTTTTGATGACGAATGTTTACATAGATATGAACACAGAAGAATGACTGTGACGAATGTGACTAAGGATACAAATTGTCGTCAGAAAAGACGTAAAGTTAGCAAAGAAGCTCTACAGCATACTAAAACCTGAGAATTATTCTAGACTAATGGATGAACTTTAGGTTATTTTCGTTAGCTCCAAACAAAAAAACATACCGTTTTTCCTACTTCCGTTTATAAATGAGTTATACGAATGCATAGTTTGGAACCCGAAGAGCTAAGTGATTCATTATAATAGGAATTTGAAAAAGCCAAGAAGAATATTGCCTCCAAATACCCCGGCACGGCCGAGAGTGGGGAGAGTCCGCCCCCCCCCTCACCAAATGTTTTCACATGGCCACGTGCATACAACCATTGCCAGGGAAGTCCTGCTCATCTCGTGGTTGGGGTGTCCGGCGCTTTAACCGGGTTGGTAGATACAGAGGGTCCACCTAGGGAACTTGGAAAACCCCGATTCCAAACTAATGAGGCACAAAGGCTGAAGGATCCTAAGGAAACAAATGACGTATGAGCCCATTGTTGGTCACCGGCTACCATGGGACTGCACCTCCGAATGTTGCTCCACTACCCAGTGGACTAGACCTCGGAGAGTGGTCCCCCAAGAAAACCGTCTGTCTCGGTTTAAGCACCCAGACAGTATCCCATCCCTCACACAAATCATTCGATTTGTGTGGCGCATATCTATTTGATGCCTCCTTGTATCAATATTTATGTGTTTAAGTAAATAAATAAAAATAACATTGGAATGCTGCAAAGATACTCTACTGTCAACGTGATTAAAATCTTGTCGTAATCATTACCAGAACACATAGAAAAGTTGGACATCTAAAAACTAACTTACCATAGCATTGGGCTTGTTTTTCTTTTCAGATTCAGCACGTATTTCCGCCTCGATAGACTCACGTATTGCTTGTTTACAGGCACGCTGACATATTTCTGTGAGGTCAGCACCCGAAAATCCCTGAGTAGCTTTTGCTAAGAAATTAATGTCAACATCCTAATATTAAAAAGACCAAGAGTTAGTAAATGCTTGTTAAACAGTTAAAAAGACTACATTATACAATTTTAAATCTGTTACCCAAATCCCTAAAATTTAGACGAGAAATTTGTCTCAAGTGTAACACTAAAATATAAACTGTTAAATGGGCTAAAAATGCGCGACCCATGGTAGTGTAAAGGAATAACTATAAAAATTATGATTCGAAAAGTACTGATTCAGTTAAGTTATAACTATAAAGACCAGTGATATTACCTAGCTAGATTGAAAAGGGTTTGAAACTGCGACATACAAAGCGAGTGGTTGCAACATAATTGCTTGTTTTTTTCCGATGAGTAGATTTTGGTTCGAATTTATCACCCAATCGGTTTAAAACGTTTCTGATTTGTTTTGTTTACACTCGACAAAAGAGGAGGATCATAGAGGCACACAAAATGTCTGGTATTTTACAAGTAATTATATAAGCTTAACAGAAAGGCAGCAAATTTGCATACACTTTTAAAATTTATTACTGAGGAAACCAAACGCTTTATACCGGGAAAACTGTCTCACTGAACTGAAGCTGACTAAACTGATTGTTTTTAGCAAAGAACGTAAGTCTTTAAGTTCTACACATCAGCAATACAAGCACTAGTCTGAAGCCATATTTCAGACAATTTTGGCTAAAAAGACTACTACAGAACACTGCAACAGCAAAAAGGTACAATATGTTAGTGCGGCAATGATAAGCAAGATGGTTTTTCAGACTCAGGAGTACCATTGATAGCATAATATTCCGTTGTATGCTATTACGCAGCCGAATTTTGCGCGACAACTTAGGTTACCCCTAAACAACGTGTGATGCAAGGAATAAGCTCAAATCGTCACATTTACTATCACCGAAGTAAAAAGAACTCAATCAGATTGAGAGCATGGTAACCCCCTAGAGGGAGCTAGAATTTTTGGCAAACACTTGAAGCCTCGTAGTACAAAGCACTTCGCGTGATGGGAACCTAGATGTTATCAGAGTACCGAGTAACCATTATTTACAAAATTCAAGCGGAAAGGAATACAGTACCGTGGGTTTGTAAATAAATAGAGTTTTGTGGTAAGTGTAGAAAGAATTTGGTTTACGCATAATTGCACAGTTAGGGAGAATTATCAGACAAAAATCACCTGGCAATAACTAACATATCTCTAATTTCGAGTCACAATGGGTAGTACAAATATGATTTTTATTGTCAACCGGTAGACTACAAAATAGCTGAATCGAAGGAAACTAAGTTTCTCCCACCTTCATATTTAGAACTAAAGGTGAACACTCACCACTTTGAAGGGAATCGAAATTAGTAGCATCAAGTGTAACTCGAGACAATCCCAACAAACTGGTGCCGAAATCCGAAAGTCATATTTTATAATTCTGCAAACGTGGTGTGAATTTCCTAAGATCATCGAAGGGCACTTCTATGCTTGGTGCAGCTAAGTTTACAGATCCTATACTTCCATCAAAAATGTAGAAGACCGATATTGAAATGATTCATTAATGACGATCAGACAAAAAGTATAACTTACCTTTGCAATTGGGGATTTTCTTAAATTAGCTTTTAGAATATTAGCTCTTGAGGCTTCATCTGGCAGTGGAATGTAAATTAGTTGGTCGAGTCTTCCAGGACGCAAGATGGCCCCATCAATAATATCTGGACGATTAGTGGCACCAATGATAAAAACGTTCTTTTTAGCAGACATACCATCCATTTCGGTTAGAAGTTGGTTGATAACACGATCAGCAGCACCTCCAGCATCACCAACGCTACCTCCACGAGCCTAGGGAAGTGAACATTGCAATGGGGAACGCGCTTATTCGGACGAAAATACCAGTGACATTTACCGGCATGAAGAGATATGTAATAAATAACTTACCATCTAATTACTCGTTAATCAATTAGCAGTAACTATTTCGACCAAAAAAATTAACAACACTCCCATATCCCATTGAAAAAAAAATTTTTAGCGAGGTTAATCAGCAAATCAGACACTGAGCAGCCATAACGTATAAACTAGGGACTGATTAGGAAAGGCAGTTATTGGATGTTTTGTACAAAAAAAAATGAAAAATACTGACGAAACTTAATGTAAGGGATGGTCTACCAGCTAAATACATGGTATACAGGACTGAAACACTAGTAAGCTGCTTATACGTTACGTTAGAGTAGGATATCGACATGGATTAGTTGAATAAACAGCATGATCCCTATGGACGGCAAACATTTCCATTTCTCAGTACTGTCTCTAATATCTACAGAAAGGTAGATACTAAGATCAGAGTTGTTGGTGAACTGTAGATTAGAACAGCACAATAGTGAACAGGAATTTGAGCCTACGAGCAACTATCAAGACGTCAGAAACTAATATTTGAGAGAATAACTAAGAACATCCAAATGCAACAGGAGTGCACTTGTTCCTCGATATGGCACTTTAGCGATTACTTTCGTCTTTCACGTTAGTACTGACGTGAAGTTTCAGAGTCACAGTTTCGAAAGGCTGAACAATACTTGCTTGCACGCCATTTGATTTATAGCATGTATACCAAAACGGACCAGAAACAACAAGCTTAGTCAAATCCACAGCGTTTCACTAAGTCAGACCTAGGCAACATAGGTCTTGCAAAATGTAAAATTTAAAGTTGGTTTGAAACGCCTGCTAATTGCATAACACTTCTCGAATACAAATAGACTTGCTACATAAGCATTACATGTAAATGACAAACTCAACCAATTAAAGTGGTAAAATGCTACTTACTTTGGCAATCGAGTCCAGTTCATCAAAGAAAAGCACACACGGTGCTGCTTGTCGAGCTTTATCAAAAATGTCCCGAACGTTTGCTTCAGATTCACCAAACCACATAGTAAGGAGTTCGGGTCCTTTGATGCTGATAAAATTGGCTTTACATTCGTTCGCAATCGCCTTCGCCAACAACGTCTTACCACAACCTGGCGGACCATAAAACAGGACACCTTTGCTAGGAGTCATACCGAATTTCAGGAATTTATCAGGATGTTCAACAGGATACTGAACCAGTTCCTGGAGCTCTCGTTTCACATTTTCTAACCCACCAATATCATCCCAGGTGACATTTGGTACCTCAACTGTGGTCTCGCGAAGAGCGGACGGATTACTCTTTCCTAAAGCCCAACGAAAGTCATCCATCGTTACGGCCAACGAGTTCAATACTTCAGCGTCAATTGTGTCGTCTTCTAAGTCAATAAGATTCATCTTATTTCTTATGTGTTGGAGGGCAGCTTCTGAGCACAACGAAGCTAGATCAGCTCCTACGTGACCGTGAGCTTCATTGGCTATTTGCTCAAGTTCAACATCTTCAGCCAGCCGGATGTTCCTGGTGTGTATCCGCAAAATATCCAGTCTCCCAATACTATCAGGAATACCTATCTCTATTTCGCGATCAAAACGACCAAAGCGTCTCAATGCGGGGTCAACACTATTAGGACGATTCGTAGCAGCCATAACAATTACGTGACTCCGTTGTTTTAGACCATCCATTAATGTCAATAATTGAGAAACGATGCGGCGTTCTACTTCACCGTGGGTTTTTTCCCTCTTAGGGGCGATCGCATCAAGTTCATCAATAAAAATAATGGCTGGTGCATTTTTTTCTGCCTCTTCGAACGCTTTGCGTAGGTTAGATTCTGACTCGCCGGCCAATTTTGACATTATCTCCGGCCCATTGATTAAAAAGAAAAAGCTTCCACTTTCATTGGCTACTGCCCGAGCAACTAAGGTTTTTCCAGTACCAGGGGGTCCATAAAGGAGTATTCCGCGAGGAGGTTTCACACCTATGGCTTTGAACAGCTGAGGGTGACGAAGAGGTAACTCAACCATTTCTTTTATTTGAGCCAGCTGCTTACGACAACCTCCTATGTCGTCATAACCTATTTCATTCAGCTTTTCTTCCTCATCCTATAAGTGGATAATGAGTAATCAAACCATACGTACCTCTCGTTTAACTGGATCTCCTTCTGTGTGAATAGTAGTGTCGGGAGAAACAATGCAATAAGGTGACGGGTCTGTTTCAATTACTTTGAACTCAACAGCTCGCATCCCACCACGTACGACAAATATGTCGCCTTTATGTACAGGTCGGTAGGCAGCCAAAAAGTATGGTTTTAGAAAAGCTTCATATAAATTTCTAGAGATTCATTAACACACAAAAGACATTACCCTGTAAGACCAAAAATAGTATCGTCAATAGGCAGCACGTGAATGCGTTTCCCGTAGAGGATGTCAGGAAGACTCTTTAAACTGACAATATCTCCTGGCTTTACTCGTAGATTACTGCGAATACAACGATTTAAACGAATCTTGTCGTCTGGGCAACTCTCGTCCACAATGGCTACACACGCCGTTTCTTTACGTTTCTTACCCTTGACCAAAACAGTGTCCCCACGAAACAGATTCATTGCATCCATCTTGGCCTGGAAGATGGTGATTAGTGCAAAATTACACTCACTTGAGATAAATAAACTACCGAGTTATCATCTTTTATCGGTTCGTCAACAATCAAACGATGGAATTTGACTCTTTCCCCTGATATAGGATCATTACTTGGATTCCTGTTATTGGATTATAGGTATGATTATCAGGTTCGTTCGAAAAGAATATACGAAATTTTTAAAAACAACTCTTAGACTTACGCATTTAGTGCACACATACTAAGCCTGACCAGAAACGAAAGTAACCACCGTCAACAATCTGTTTGCGACGCTCACGAAACTACGTTTAAACTAAGGTAGATTCAAAGTTCAGATTTTGATGAAATAGTAACAGGCTTTCTAAGACTGTTTTTCATTGCATTAAAAGGAGAATCCTTTAGATCTCTGAACTGGTTAGTGGCGTTTATTGTTCAGTTTGGTGATTAAATGATTGGGATTATTAATTCAGCAGATGTTTGAATAAGCAAAGATGGATAGTGGCTAGCAGTGGAATTCAGGACGCGCGTTTCGTCCTGTTTGGGACTCGTCAGCTGGATGTACCTGCATCTCAGAGTTGATGTTCACTCTTGGACTCGAACTCAGTACCGTCCGCTTCAAACGCCATCACGTTTGAATAGTTTAGAGTCCTAGGGAATACCTCACGTTCCTTACTGAATGACTACTGAAAGATCTCAGCTGGCAGTGAGTTACGAGACTTGACTGCTCGCAAAGAGTAGTTACGCCTACAGTCAATATTGCAACGTTGTTTATGAGTTCTGGTTATTGCTCCGAACATTTTTGCTCGGACTGCGTTTGGATGTGTAATTTGTGGGTGCCCGGGAGTTTCTCGGATGATGTAAAAAAAATCATCGCCGAGGCACCCATACTCCGATATATAAAGATACAGTGATTCAAGATGCCTTTCATAAGATCTGAATTTGAGTCCTCGAGATGATTTTGTGGCTCTCTTTTGGATATGTTTCGGAATATTTCAATCGCTTTGGGATTAGGGAAGAAAGATATTTTTGTACGCTAGATGGGGCCAAATAAAACTTAAGGATTGGGCGGAAAGCATAAAACTGACCCCGTCAAATGCCTTTGAGAAATCGAAGTATATCATATCCACCTTCCACTAAAGTCGTCAATAGTTGTCCGTCCATTCATCATAATCAACAGATCAGTAGTACAGATGTGGTCCTTCCTGAAGCCTTGTTGCTGGAGTGAAAGAAGTTAATGAACTGCAAGTAGTTGTGTAAACAATTGTATACCAAACACTCCACTAGATTTGATGACGCTGAAAGACGTGTTGTCAATAGTTTGTAGTTAAACTGTATCGGTCTCTTTTGAAAAATATTATGATATAAGTCAGATGACTATTGTCTGGGATCGGAGCTTGGCTTTGCTAATGTGAGAACATTACACTTACGTGTTTTCAAGATTGAGGCCTCTCCTCTCAGTAAGGCAGGGTAGACCATATCTGAGACACGAAAAGTGCTCTTATTTAGACGCTGCAGTTTCCGATGCATCAATCTAGCGCTTAGGTTTACCTTGAAGACTCCTGTTGAATTGCAAGCGAATCCGTAGTCAATGCACTTTGTACGTGATGGATAAAACGTTGAAAAATACCATTGTATCAGGACCTTGAGGAATCTCCACGGTTTTTCATGGGGTTACCTAGTAATTCGGAAACTCCGGTTTCGGCTTGACAAAATGAGGGGTGGAGTAAGTTCTCCCGGCTGGATGCCAATCTAAACACCAGCCTAATCTGGTAGTGATGCTTATCTCATGTCTGCCTCCACTTCTCTACGTAATGTGTTCTTTGATCTTCCTCTTCTCCATTGGCCTTGGGGATTCCAAGAGAGGGATTGCATTGTGACGCAGTTGGGTACTTTCCTCAGTGTATGCCCATCCACTTCCAGCGCTTAGTCCTGACTTCTTCCGCCTCTGGGATATGGTCTGTTCTCTCCCACAGTTGGTTGTTGCTGATAGTGTCTGGCCAACGGATCCGACAACTGTTAATAAACACTTGTACCTTCTGGATGACGGCTCTCATCGTTCTCCAAGTTTCTACCCCATACAGTAGAACTGTCTTGACTTTTTTATTGAAAATCCTGACCTTGGTGTTGGCTTGCAGATGGTCGTTTTAAGTTCCAGATGTCCTTCAATTGTAGATATGCTACTCTTGCTTTGCCGATCCGCGCCTACACATCTGCATCAGATCCACCCTGTTCATCAATGATGCTGCCCAGATATGTAGAGGTTTTTACATCTTCCGAATCTCCGTCAAATGTGATTGGACTGTTGCATGTTGTGTTGTATCGGAGAATCTTGCTTTCCCATTGCGTATGGTGAGACCTACTGCTGCTGAGGTTGCTGCTACACTGGTCGTCTTATCCTGAATTTGTTGTTGTGTGTGCGATAGAAGAGCCAGATCATCTGCGAAGTCTAGATCATCCAGCTGTATTCTAGCTGTCCACTGTATCCCATGCTTCCCCTCAGGTGTTGGCGTCTTCGTGATCCAGTAGATCAACAGGAGAAAGAGAAAGGGTGAGAGTAAGTAACCTTACCTGACACCGGTCTTTACTTCGATCGAGTTTGCCAACTGTCCTCCATGCACGATTTTGCAGTGTAATCCATCATATGAGTTCTGTATGATATTGACCATCTTCCCAGGCACTCCGTAGTGTCGAAGGAGTTTCCATGGTTTTGTCCTGTCTACGCAACCAAATGCTTTTTCATAGTCAATGAAGTTGATGTGGAGTGATGAATTCCATTTAATTGATTGTTCCACAGTGATCCGTAGAGTTGCGATTTGTTCTGTACACGATCGATCCTTGCGGAATCTTGCCTGTTGGTCTCGAAGTTGGGCGTCTACGGAGATCTGTTTAACAATACTTTGTTGAAGACTTTTCCTGGTGTTGAGAGAAGAGTGATGACTCTGTAGTTATCACACTTGCTGAGATCGCCTTTCTTTAGCATCGTGATCAGAAGTCCTTTCCCGTCTGTTGGCACTTGTTCTTCATCACAAATCTTGTTGAAGAGAATGTGGAGTATTTTTGTAGTTGCCGCTAAATCTGCTTTCAGTGCTTCTGCTGGAATGTTGTCTGGTCCCGCTACTTTGCCGCTCATGATTTTTCTGAGGTGCTCACATATGCCGTCAATACTAGTTCGTTTATATCTTTTGGATCCTGGCATTGGAAGGCCGTAGTCCTTGTGACTTTAGGTTGGTTTAGTCTTTAGGGTTGATTTGTGTGACAGACTGATTCGTAGCACGCAAAATTGTCAGCATTAAAAAGCCTCCGTAAGTGTCCAGATCAAGTTAAAGACAAGCCTCCAAGTTGATCTGCTGTAAATTTTCCTTTAAAACTGACATTTATACATTTAAAATTATAACGACAGTTTTCAATAAGATAATTTGTCCAGATCTGCCAACAAAATTAAAAGCTGTAGCAGTGTGATCTCTTTTTCCCAGGAAGATTAGGACTGGGAAGCTTTCGGTTAAGAATTATTTGTCAGTGAAAAACCAGCCTTTGTATAACGAGGTTCGCTTGTTTCTTCACGTAGCTCCTGATATCACGCTATCAAATAATCCCAGTTCTTTAGTAAGGCAAAAACCGACTTTCAGTAGAGTCATCACTTACATTATGACTATTCGGGGAGTTGCATTACATACGCGCATGAATATTTGTGTAAAATGTTTTTCATCAACAAGAAGCCATGGAAAATCCTTATTCTTAGAAGAAAGTGATAACTTTGATTACGCAAGACATAATTTAACAGAAGTACCGTTCAAATGTACCGAAGGGTACATTTAGATGTGACATTATAGTAAGCCTATTAAATTTTTTATTACCTACCTGCTGTGATTTAGGCAGTCAGACCACTATGTAAACGTATGTGTGAGTCTGACTGAACGCATGTCTGCACCTCAATTTTTACCTATCCTCCCATTTCTTGTTTACACACTCAATCAATGACTTACAACTGAGTAACCTCAGAGAAAGCATACGGATATTTCGACTCTCACTCACATACTTTCGCTCCCCAGTGTGTTTGTCTTTTGCGTGCCTGTGGATTTTGTAATTTATTAATGATACACTATCCCAACAACATGTGTTCTGGTTTTTGAATATTCTCCAGCAACTTCATAGCACTGTAACAACTGAGGTTGGTTGACTGAGTTCACTACAGACATCTAAGTCAATGCCAGAACACTAAAGCCTAAGTATTCACTCACCTTCCAGTATTTCAAAATACAGACCTAGTTTGTTCTCGTCGGTCAGTAGAACGAGGAGTACCGGTCGGCACGAAATTAGTGAGTCCTATATTGAACACAAATTCAATTTATGTTTTGATTGGTCGTAAAAGAAAGCGTTCTAATTCTCTTCGTTATAAATTTCGTATAAATATTTTTTATTTATTAGTATTTTTTGCAAAGTATTCGTGTTGTAATCATTATTTAAGCCCGTTTGTATCATATTAACATACTGGTCATATTCCAAAGATATTCCAAAGGGACATGAGGTTGCAAATTTCAGAAGCTCCCATCTTCAATGGACCTATCCTTGACCATCAGTTGCACATTCGCAACGCAACTTTCATGAAGCGCGTAAACTGTGATACTGATTAAAACCATCTACATTCATATCTTATAAATTATCAACCCATCTAAGTAATTTACTACAGTGGACATTGTATCATTTGCAACAATTTGATCTTGCCTGTAAACTGGCATGCCTCATGTAACAAACAGTTATTTGAGAATAAATTATTATTATTATTATTATTATCTAAGGCTTTGAGGATGGTGCAGGATGAAGTCACCCGTTCCATATCTCAAGGGGGGCTGAAAGAGGGAGCAAGTACAAGAAAGGACGAGAGGCAGAGTAGCCAATATTCATGAAGGAATGTTTAAGGTATGATTACTCAGTGTAATCTTCTTTTATTAAGGTATTTGTTAAGAAAGAGCATTTTAATAGGTTGAAGAAAATAAGTGTTAACAAGGTGTGAGTGGACATACAACTGACAAATGGAGGCGATTCAGAAAGGAGCTGAGACTATGGGATCATGTGGGGTTATAAAATATAGTGCTAAAAACAGTATTGTGATATAAAATTGGCCATCTTCCTTTTTTTATCGAAGCTATTGGAGCCCTTTTCATTTTTTGGTATTATTATTATTATTTTTTAGGTATCAAAGGAACTTGAGTAGGCTTCGTATGTTAGCGAATTGTCTATTCAACGATAGGTATTACACATACTTTGTAAAGAATAATTTTAGATTTATTTTGAAAGAAACTAAGAAT